CCCGCCGTGCTTCGCGAGGCCGTGGAGGCCGTGGTGCGGAGCTTCGCCAAGCACACGCAGGGCTACGGCCGGGGTGAGTCTGGGGCGCGGCCCGGGCTGTGGGGAGCCTCGCCCCGCGGCCCTCCCTCCTCGGTCCTCCCTCTCCCCGGTCCTCCCTCCCTCCCTCCCTCCTCCTCCTCGATCCTCCCTCCTCCTCCCCCTCGGCCCTCCTCTCTCCCTCCTCCTCTCCGGTCCTCCCGCTCTCCTCCTCCTCCTCCTCGGTCCTCCCTCTTCCCTCTCTGGGCCTCCCTCCTCCCTCCCTCCCACCGTCCTACCTCCCACAGTCCGTCCGATCGTTGTTTTCTTTTTTTCCTGGCGAGGCGCCCTCGCGCCCTCGACAGGCATTTGTTCCCTTTTGGGGAGTCGACTTCTGGGTAGCGCAGCCGTTGGTCCCCACACGTCGACGTCCCCCCTCCCCTGTATTAAGTGCCTGTCCTCCCCTCCGGTGAGCCACCCCCGCCCCAAGTGTCAGATCCAGTCTTCTTCCCAGTTCCCACCAGGACTGGAGTTCTTCCCATTGTGTGAATCCCGGCCTTGGATCCCAGGCAGTTCCCGTCCTTCCCCAGTAACTCTGGGACTTCTTCTTTACCCCATCTCCTTCACCTTAACCCCCCCCCCTCTCCCCGCCCACCTTTCATGCCAGTACTGGGACCGTCCCTCAGCTTTTTTTCGTGCAAGGCTGGCGCTACCCTTTGAGCCACAGCTGTACTTCCGGCTTTTTTTTTTGCTGGTTAATTGGAGATCGGAGTCTCGTGGATCTGTGTGTCCCATCTGGCTTCGAACCAGTATCCTCAGATCTCAGGTTCCTGAGGAGCTAGGATTACAGGCATGAGCTACCACCAGCACCTGGCTTTATTCACGAGGTAGGACAAGGGATGGAGGCAGGGTCTTGGCTATATAGCCAGGGCTGGTTTCAAACTCAAGATCATCCCGACTGTGTCCTAAATGCAGGGATTACAGGCAGAAGTCACCATGTCTGACTTTTCAAACTCCTTTACTTATTGAAATGTCCAAGGCAACTTCAGACTTTATGGGAATGAAGCAGGACCCTTCACAAATCACTCAATAATTGTGCCTTCAAATCTGGACTGAAACCACTGAGCTCATGCCAGCTTCCTGTGACTTAGTACTTCACATTGGTGTCTTAAAAAAAAAAAAAACAACTTTGGAGCCTTACAATTCCAGCCTCTGTCTGTCTGGCTCTGTTTTCCTGGCCCTTGCCCAGGAACTGAGGGTAAATCCCAGACCTTGGCTCTCTCAGTGTTAAATTCTGTGGCAGTGAGCCAGGTAGAAACCCTATTTGTTAGAATCTTCTGCTTAAAGATGCCTAATTTCCAGAAAGGGGGCTTGAGGACTTTGTTATTTTCTGTTTAACCAGTGTAAAATTTCTTGTCAGATTCAAATTTGTAGTTCAAGTAAACAAAAAAATATATATAGTGAAGAATGTGAGATTCAAAATTTAAGTGTGGAGTTTGAAACACACCACTTCTGATGTTTGGTCAGTTCTGCTTGAGCTGAAAGTGACTCTATTTCTAACTTTTTAGTTTAGCAAACTAGAAAGTCTTCTAGTCTAGAAAAGTTGCAGGGGTTTCTCTGTGGACAATTGCTTGCCTGCCTGCCTGCCTGCTTTCGTTCCTTTGTTCCTTCCTTTCCTTCTTTCCTTCCTTCCTTCAATGTTAATAATACTGGGGCTTGAATTTAGGGCATTGTTCCATAGTTTTTTCACTCAAGGCTGGGGCTCTGCCACTTGAACTCCACATCCAGCTTCTTGCTGGTAAAGTGGATAAATCTTGGATTTGTCTGCCTGGCTAGCTTTGAACTGGGATCCTCAAATCTCAGCCTCTTGAGCAGCTGGGATCACAGGCATGGAGCCTCTTTTGCCTGGCTGTCCCTCCCTCTCTTCCTCTCTCCCTCTCTCCTTCTCTCCCTCTCTTCCTCTCTCCCCCCTCCCTCCTCCCCTCCCTCCCTTCCTTCCCTCCTTCCCTTCCCTTCCCACGCTCCCTTCCTCTTCTTTCTTTCAGAAAGTGTAGTGAAAAAAGCATGCATAAGCTCTTGAGATCTGTCTCTTGCCAGCTTAGTCTTTGGAAAAGGGTCTTAATCTTACTGAGTGTAAGTTTCAAGGGTTATGAGATATTGCAATTAAGGCATAATATGTATTCAAATTATTATTGTCATCAAATTTGTTGGCTTATGCTTTCTTAAGGAAGAATATAGGTTCCATTTTCTCCCATTGTCTTTCCTTTTTTGGCAACTCAGAGCCTTCGTTGCAAGGCAAGTCTCTCCCCCTTTTTGCCTTGGTTACTTTTGAGACAGGATCTTACTCTTGCCAAGACCACCCTGAATTAGGGCTCTACCATCCCCGTGGAGGCATGGTGACAGGTGTGTACCATTGCACCCAGCCACTGAATGAGAGAGAACCTTGCTAACTTTTTGCCCCAGACTGTCCTGTAACTTTCCATCCCTGATCTCTGCTTCCCAAGTAGCTAGGTTATCAGCTTAAGCCACTGTTCCTGGCTTATTTCCACATATTATTAAATATTTATATCTCTAAATCCAAAGATTCTGCTGAAAACAGACCTTCAGGGGACTTTGCTGTATGTGTCTAATGATGTAATTATCATTAATTTCATTTTTTCATATAATTTGCATTCCTACCATGTGTCAGGTGCTCTGCAGGGTGCTGAGGATACAAACACTAAGATTTAAAAACTCTTCATGAAGTTATTTTTTCAGTTCAATTTTTGTTGATTTTTGTCACATTTTTTTTTTTTTT